AATTTTCGTGATGGCTCTTTTCAAACCAGGCCACCCAACCGACTCTTTAAATCTTGGTACCTCTTGTTCCACCTAAATTCCTAGTCAACAGACTTAATGCCTCAAAAAATATCTTTCTAAATTCTTAATCATTGGGAATACAAAGTCTCGCGCGATAATATGAACATCTGTCGTATATTAGCACAACTATAACACCGCTCACCATACATATAATGGTGTCAAATCTTTTAAGGCAAACTCGACTGCTGCCGACTCCAAATCATGCATACGGTAATTCCTCTTGTGAGTCTTTAACTTTATCAAGGCATATGCCACAACCTTACATTTTTGCGTAAGCACACTTCCTAAGTCGTTGGGATATGCATTAGTAAAAAACCACATAATCCTTGCCCAACTCAAGTTGTATAAACACTGGTGTCTTTATTAAAATACTCTTTGGCATTTCAAAACTCTCTTGACCCATTTTCGTTCTACAAAAGACACATCTTTCTTTAAAAACTTAGTTAGCAACAAAGCTAACGTTGAAAAGTTCTTCACTCACCTTCGATAGTAACCAACAAGCCCCAAAGAAATCTGAACTTCTGGATCATTATTTGGGAGTTTCCAATTTACTACAACATGAGTTTCTCTTAGGATCTACTATTATACCTTATGTCGAAACAATCTGGCCAAAGAAAACCATCTCTTCTACCCAGAATTTCATATTGGAATAGTTTGGCATACAAGTTCTTCTCTCGAATAGTCTTATTTAACTATCAAAATCTATGCATAACCACATAGATTTATCTTTCTTTTCGCTAATAACACAAATACTTCCCAAGATAAAATACTCGGGCTGATAAAACTTTGATCAATCAACTCTTATAATTGAGCCCCTAATTCTCTTGACTCACTTAAATCATTTGATACTAAATCATAGAAACATGTTCAATACATTAATAACCATCAACCTTGAATTTCACCTCTCGATTTGGAGGTAACTCAATAAATTTACCTGAAAAGATATTTATAATTTCCCAATTTTGTGAAATTATCAAAAAAAATCTACTTTAATTATTTGAGTATCTATCACATTAGCCATAAAAGTTATATATATCTTTCTGAAATTATTTTCTTCACAATCATTATCGATATCACCTTGAGCGATGATTATACTTTCTCTCCAAAAACTATAATTTTCATACCCTCTGCATCTTTCTGAACTAATCGTCTTTGGAGACTAACAACCTATATCAATATGATCTTAACTCATCAAGTGATAATTCCATCAAATTCACCAGGAACATATCCCCTGAAATCTTTATTAAATGATTACTACATGTCCAACTCACACTTGTACCATGACCCACTAGGGTTTACCCCTATCATCTCACTCGAGATTAAGTTGAATAGAATACTTTTATTTTAAAATCTTTCATTTCCTTCTTGAGGTAATCCGTGTAACTTTTCTGGATCCATTTAAAATATTCTCGAGCAGTTGAAACATTTTTTATCTCAACTATAAAAGTCTAATTATCCAAATCATTTAATAAGAAGACTTGAAAACTTTGTAGCAATAGCCTCATAGCAGTTAATGCTAAAAATTACACTAGTAACCAAATTTACTCTTTTTCCTATCATTACGAACTTGACACTTTTCCAAGTTCTTGAGAGTTAATCTCAATTTTGAAGTATAAAATGGGTAGAAAATCTATTTTCACAAATCACCTTCTAAAAGTAACTCTATTAGGTCCATAAAACTTAACATTTATTCTTAAACAAACTCATAACCAATTGATCCACTAATAACTCTTTTTTCTATAAGCTTTTAGTGGTCAATGCATTTACCGCTTACTCATTTCCTCTTACTCAAATTAACAATACTTTAAACAATTTAATGTTTCACTTAAATATTTCTCAATTATTTAATCTTACCTGATGAAACCTCGAAATCATCACTAAATTCATAAATCTCCTTTGGATCCTTATCCGATTCAACTTCTCTTGCATCGATTTTTTTATCTCGACCTTTTTTCAATATTATCTACTTTCATACCTTTGAACTTAATTTCCAACATCTATTAGGACATATATAATAATAACACTCAAGTTAATAAAGAGTGACATCAATCACACTCTAATTGACACCATATCAGTAACTTTGACAATCTTAATGGCATGTAATCCTTTTTCTCAATTCAATTTAAACCGATTTCGGTCGAGAATCGGCTAAACATGTGGTTCTTATACCAATAAATGTAACACCCATTTCCAGTATACGTTTTCGTACACAAGTCATAGGTGTCACATAACTTTTAAAAACATTCACCCATTTGTAAAACCCATAAAATTTTATTTCGAAATTTAAAACCAAAAAAACACATTTTAGTACAACAATAAAAAAGTCGTTGAAACATATTACCAAAGTTATTACTTTAAATACATTCCAAAGCATTTTTCTTAATTTCGATTACATGCCAGCAAATTTTCAAAATAAACATGATGGTCCTACTATTACTGATGAGAGTCAACCTTAGATTGATGATAGCTGCTACTGCACCCCGTACCCGACTAGTCTTTGCTTTTACCTACGCATGAAATTAACACACGTTAAGTATTTACTTAGTGAGACATAATATTGTAAAGAAACTGCAATTATACAAAGTATCTCATGACTATTTAATGACGAATTAAATCGCATACTCCATAAGGATCATATAAATCCGTCTCAGTTAAACCAGATTTCTTTCATACGATCATCGAAATTATTCTTAGTAGGCCAGGCATACATATCCTTCTGTATATTTTTCCCAATTATTCTTTATTTGCCCTATGTACGTTAAATGAGAAAGTGATGTACATGTATTACACCAAAGTGTCAAATGGTCTTTTATCTTTTATAATTATCATGAGTGGTACCTTATATATCGTTAATACACCTTTATATATTTTCATTTGTGGCATCCTTTCATGCTAATTATGCACTGTTATACATTTTCATTTATGGCATCCTTTCATGCCAATTATGCATTGTTCTTCATCTAACTTGCATTAGTGGCAACTTTCTGCCAAAAATGTACCGTTAGGCATCTAACTTGCATTAATGACACCTTTATGCCAAAAAGCATGGTTAGGCGTTTAGTCTTTCATCCAAAGGCATTTAACATTTCATATAACTCACATTATTGGCACCTTTCTGCCAAATGCACAGTTAGGCATTTAGTCTTTCATCCAAAGGCATTTAACCTTTCATCTAACTTGCATTTAACCTTTCATCTAACTTGTATTATTGTCACCTTTCTGCAAAATGAACAGTTAGGCATTTAGTCTTTCATCCAAAGGCATTTAACATTTCGTCTAACTTGCATTATTGGCACCTTTCTTCCAAAAGCACAGTTAGGCATGTAGTCTTTCATCCAAAGGCATTTAACCTTTCATCTAACTTACATTTAACCTTTCATCTAACTTGTATTATTGTCACCTTTCTGTCAAATGAACAGTTAGGCATTTAGTCTTTCATCCAAAGGCATTTAACATTTCGTCTAACTTGCATTATTGGCACCTTTCTTCCAAAAGCACAATTAGGCATTTAGTCTTTCATCCAAAGGCATTTAGTCTTTCATCCAAAGGCATTTAGTCTTTCATCCAAAGGCATTTAACCTTTCATCTAACGTGCATTATTGGCATCTTTTTTTCAAATGCACAGTTAGGCATTTAGTCTTTTATTTTAAAGCAGCTCATACTCTAATAATTATTCATAATATCAATTCCATACACATTATAAACATATATCAAATATGATAAAACATATATTAAATTAAAACATTAGAGGTTGACTCATTGTGAGTCTCCCTCATCCCATATAATTACAATAGATGCACTCACCTAATATGTCTCCCTAATGTTGTAGTGATGTCCAACTACTCGACAACTTTGTCCTTGCCCTTATTCTTGCTTGACTCGGGAGCTTGGTTATGATCTACACAAGCATCCATTTAGTACACATACCATACAAATGTTAGTATATTCTCTAACATTTATACTTTAATAATACTCAAAAGTACTATTATTTTCAATTTCTAGTACAATTTCATTCTATCTTACAAATTTAGACTTAATGGTATCGGTACCCCTGCTATGGTATCGATACTTCTATATTATAGTACCGATACTCCCTTTCCAGAATCGATACCATTTTTACATTCTGGAATCTATGGTATCGATATCTTTCTCTTAGTATCGATAGGGTGATTAAAACCTTTGACGGAGTTTACTTGAACAATCATGTTCAAGAGGGTTCCGAGGATAAAACAAACATCATCATCACATTATCTACATCTTCAAATCATCTCCATCACATCAATTTTTAGATATGGAGTAAATTTATCTGTTACTTCATTTTGTTCTTTATTTTATTTTAATTCTATCTTTCATTAAATTGATATCTTTCAATTGACCTTGCTTTCATATCACTAGGAGAATAGAGCCTCTGTGAAATGAATCTTACATCATATTCAATCAATACGTAATTATTTTTCAACTGTTGATTGAAAATGAGAATTTGTAGAAAAGACTTCTCATAACATTAAATTTATTTTTCGATAAGTAACTATATGTAGACTTAGATAATAGTAGGTAGAGTTATTGTTATACATACACTTAAAATTGTAGAGATCTTATAATCATAAATTTTTACATTTTTAATATTATAATGGATTATTTTATTTTAAAATATTTAGAAAATGAATAATTAAGTGACCTCAATATAAAAAGTTATTATTTTCTTTAAATAACTTAAATTCAAATAATTATATTTAGAGAGTGTGTCGTTAATAGATTAATTTTAGTCATACCATTAATTTAGAAAGAATGCCGGGTCTTGTGAACTGAGCCATCGAGTAGACTTGAATAGTATAGAGAACCACAGTCCCGAGTTCGCTAACCCAACTCAGCCCAATAAACAAGTCGTCCTAACAAACCCAAATGCAGGAAACTTCTCAACCAAGGGAAACAAGCCGATGCAATGATAAACCGGCACTGCAATAAAAGAGGAGAAAGGATGACAGCAAGAGAAAACTCTTTTGAAACCCAAATACCCTTCTTTTTAATCATTTATAAGCATCGTTTTCATATAAATACATAATCCTTGAGATTTATTTTCTTTTCTAAATCCATCTTTCTAAGGTATTTTCTTTTCCTAATTTCTGCAGGCTTAGGGGTTTTTATGTTTACTAATTGTACGGTGGAATTTGGAGATTGAAAAGTTGGAATCTTTTTAATGTGTAAAATCTTTTTTTCTGTAGGAATATATATCTGAGAAGATTTGGGAAAATCAAATGGGAGTGAAGGCTGAGCACTGATGTCACTGTTCTGGATTGTGATTCGTCGACTAGCTGAAATCGAAGAAAGAATGGTATTTTTCTCTTTTATTTTGTTCCTTATTATTGATTTTGATTTGATTATCTGAGATGATTTAAGAAATTGAAGTTGTTATCTGAGCTCAAAAGTTAATTCAAAGTTAGCCATGCCAATGTTTTATATATATTGAAGTATTATGCATTAGAGACATGATAGATTGCCAATGTTTTATAGCCCAAAAGTTAATTCAAAAGTTTTTATGTTATCGAATATGTTTCTACCGATAGGCGACCTCTAAGAAAGTAATTACAAGGGAAGAGTGGGAAAAGAGATTGAATGATATTAAGATCAGGAAAGAAGACATGAATAAGTTGGTGATGAATTTCCTTGTCACTGAAGGTTATGTTGAAGCTGCCGAAAAATTCCGGATGGAATCCGGAACTGAGCGTATCCTACAAAGAAGAACAAATTCTTGCTCTTGTGTACTCTATATTGTTAGTGTACAAAAAAGTATATGTTTTATTTTCCTTATCGTGGAACAGCAGATATTGATCTTGCAACGATCTCGGATCGCATGGCTGTTAAGAAGGCTGTACAATGTGGAAACGTTGAGGATGCCATCGAGAAAGTTAATGATTTGAACCCTGAGGTAGGATCTTGGATTACAGTGTGATGATGTTAAACTATTCATTTACGTTCTCAAATGAATATGGGATCTGTTTTATATTATTGATTCGTCGTTACAATAATTCTTTCCTTCCACTAGTCTCCATGGAAATCTAAATTTCGCTTCCTGATATCTTGTTATAGCTGTAGCTAGATCAACCATCATGAAGTCCATTATTAGGATCTTGCTGTACTTCTAAAGGGAGTTGTGTTTACCTTAATTGTCAGCCATTCATATGTTTAGCTATCTCAATTCGAAATACCTAAACCTGTATTTGGTGGTGGTTAGGCAATTCTGGGAAATCTTTCAAAAGGGTAGATGATTCATGTGAGATATGAATATTCTTCCAATACATACTGCCGAAGAAAACCGTGGCATACTGTTCTTGTCAATCTGTGTTCACTTCTTGAAATTCATTTCTTTGCAGATATTGGATACAAACCCGCAACTCTTTTTCCATCTCCAACAGCAGAGATTGATAGAATTGATTCGGGATGGAAAAATAGAAGAAGCCTTGGAGTTTGCTCAGGAGGAGCTTGCACCTAGGGGAGAAGAAAATGTAACTATGCTTCATTAATGCATGAGAATTTCATATGCAAGCTTATTTTTCTGATACTTGGCTTGATATGAACAATTTTTATTCTGCAGCAAAGCTTTCTAGAAGAGCTGGAGAGGACTGTTTCACTCCTGGCTTTTGAAGATGTTTCAAACTGTCCAGTTGGAGAGCTTTTGGACATATCACAGCGCCTTAAGGCGGCAAGCGAGGTGAACGCAGCCATACTTACTAGCCAGAGTCACGAAAAAGGTCTGTTTGCTGTCTTTTGTATTCGTTTTTTATTTACTTTGGGGAGCTGATGACTGATTCTTTGTAAGTTAGTATAATAGTCTTTAAAGAGGTTTCGACCTTCATGCCCTGGACTCACAACATTGCTATAGTAAGTTAATTGATGCCAACCTTTTCTAATCTACTGTTTATTGCTCTTTTAGTTGTAAAGTGGCGACATTAATATAGCTACAATGTATTTGTTCTTCAAGTCATTAAGTTGAATACGGTGTCTAGTACGTATATTGTAGACCCAAATTGCTCATGGTAATCTTTTCTGTGATCAACTATTGTATGTGCTTTGGTTAACAAAGTATTTAAGTCGTTACTTGCTTGTCCCAGGTTGAGATTTGCTTAACCTGCTTGCCCTGTTTACAGACCCGAAGCTTCCAAGCTTGCTAAAGATGCTGATCTGGGCTCAGAATCAACTGGATGAGAAAGCCGCTTATCCTCGCATAAATAATTTTTCGAACGCCACTTTCGAAGACCCCTTGGATTGAAAAGTTTGAAAGATTATGGGGGAAAAAGTCAAGTTGCTTGGGATTGATCAGAGATAGAGCTTGAATTGAATCAAATGATATATATGCTTGTAACCTCAATACTCTAGCTAGGAATTTGTTGATTGTCATTTGTTATGATGTATTGATGCTTATTTCCATTGTAGAATAATTTAAGTCACCTTTTGCCGTTGTACTATCCGTTGATCGTGGGTTATGTTTACCGGAATTAACATGTTTGAGGTTCGAATCCTGGTATCAGTATCGGATTTGAGCATATCACCGAGAAATGGGATTTAGAAAGATGAATACTTCAAGCCCAAATAGAATATTTTAACCCCAAATTTTGAATATTTATAGCATAAACAATGCTATGACCGTATGAGCAACATTCAAGGTCATCGAGAACTACGGGGACAGACATGCCAAAAAAACCATTAGATCAAATGTCTGAAAAATGTTCATGAACAAGAAAGTCCCTAGATTTGAACTCCCATTATTGTATTATACGTACATTCCATGCTGAATCCCTAGTCGATGCTTATACACCCAACAATTCTCATTGTGTTAAACGCCAATGCCATGGTTTTTTTTGCCTATATCTAGCTCTAATGTTCTACATTATTCTTCCCGTCATTTACACATAGCTTAGGAAACTCGCTCGAGCTCAAGCTCTATCTCCCCCTCCCGCACTAGTCCAATATGGGTTCACTTGCTTCCGAACCACGACTGGCGTTGACACCAACACCGCCATCCTCATCTCATTTTAACTCGTCTCGCTATCGAGTTATCACGGTGTTTTGTCCCAAGGAAGCAAGGCCTAATACTAACGTTTTTAACTGTATACAGTGTTATGATCCTTCTGACAATACTTGGAACCATGTCAGCTTCATTCCCGACCTACTCGAAAACCATGTCTTGAAAGATTTTGCATTGGTTTCTCTAAGGGAATCGGTTTACATTATCGGTGGGAGGCTGTGGAACAAAAAAAAGCCCCGAAATTCAAGTGAATCTGATGTTGGTGTCGAAGTATCGGCTTTGGTGCTTCGATACAACATTTTGTTAGACCAATGGTCCAAGTGTGCACCGTTGAGGACTCCACGGTACGATTTCGCATGTTGTGTTTGTGATAACAAAATATATGTGGCAGGGGGAAAGTCCGGTTTGCACAGTCCCCGAGGAATGTCATCGGCGGAGGTCTACGATCCGGCTCATGGACAATGGACTACATTGCCTAGCATGAGCACCCTGAGATACAAATGCGTCGGCGTGACATGGCAAGGGAAAATCTATGTGGTGGGCGGTTTCGCCGAAAAAGGTGATTCGGAACCGAACATGCTGACATTCTCGCCCCAACGTAGCTCGGCAGAGGTGTTCGACACACGAGCGGAGAAATGGGACATCGAGGCCGGGATGTGGCAACTGGACGTGCCGCCGAACCAAATCGTAGCTGTCGAAGGCAAGTTGTTCAGTTCCGGAGATTGCCTCATCCCTTGGAAAGGACACATCGAGGCCTACGAAGGGAAACTCAACATGTGGGATGAAGTCGACGGGTCTCGTTTTAATCCACCCATCTCCACCATGGAACGACTTTACTTAACAATGGCACCCATTGGGACACAATTGTATTTCTTTGCAGGGTATAAAAAGGCTGAGGAACCATTAAAAACACTTTCGATGGTTTATGTATTTGATACATCTGCCACCATTGATGCCTGGAAAAGCTTAGAGCCGATGGAGGAAGAAGGTGAGAAAGAGCTTTGCAGCCATTGCTGTGTCGTCCAACTCTGGTAAAGGTGCCAACTAATGACTCATGTGATGTTAAATCATTTTGATTTACTTGAATCTTTATCAAATACCAGGTTTCTAGAGCAAATTTGGACGAGCTCAAGTATCTGACTTGTAATGTACAATAAGGTATTTTGTTAACCGATAATAAATACCTACTTAGTTATGTATTAGTGATATATCTCATACCAAATAAGCAAAAAAAAAAAAGATAGTATATGATGTACAGTTACTTTAATCTTTTTTTTTTTGAAGTACTTTAATTTTTAATATTTCATTTTCAATCAAAACAATCCACTACAGATTTTCATTTTTCTTCTAATTTATTCATTTATCAAACATATTATACTATAAACTTTTTGGATCAGAACTACTAAGCTCTCGTGCAAGCTTTCCTTAGGGTAAGCGATCTTGGTATAAACGACCTCCTAGGCTCACACAGGGTTTAGGCATTCAAGCATCGATCCCAAGTAGTTGATACACTGTATTTCTAAAAACAAAATATTCACAGACGATTTGAGTCATAAGGGTCACGTATCACACTTTTAGTCAAGTTGTGAGGTTGGATTCTAGCTTTCTCTAAACCTGTAAAAATCCTACATCTAAATATCCTTAGTAATGAGAATTAAGAGACGATACTAACAAAATAGTTATGTTTAGTTGTCGTTAATTATGACAATGATCAAAATAAAAATGAATCAAACATTTAAGTCAATGCAAGTTTTAAAAGTTTGATGATCAAAATAAAAAGTGTTTTAAAAGTTCGGAGACTACTAATAAAGTTCATCGTAATAACAATAAAAAGTAAAGAAACCAAATGACATGAAAATGAAATAGATAGATTAAGTTTTGAATTTCAACATAACATATGGACGAAAACAATCTAAATTTCATAAAATTTGAATATGTTAAAATTCGCAACCTATAATAACTGAACTAAACCTAGGATTCTAAGACGGCGGACCATATGAAATGAATATAAGTTTTCGAGGCTTTTGTCACATGGAATGATAAAAGGCCCAAATGGTCAAAGAAACTTATCCATATAACCATAGGCCTCAAAGCTCAAAAAGAAAAGAAAGAAGCAAAAAGCCCAATCCCAAGTCATCAATAATGTCGAACCACCAAACAAAGCTTTTACTCCCCCAAAAGAAGAGAAAGTAAAAGTGTGCCTAAAATTCAGGCTTCCTTTTGATGATCAAAATATAATATTAAGGGTGAATTTTGAAATTGTGCAAATATAATGATCAAAATGCAAGTTCTGATATAGTACATAGACCTATACACCAATTCTCCCAAACCATGGACCCATGACATGAAGTCCCCACCCCATCACAAAGACTCTCCCGATGCAACACCGTACCCTTGCTTATAACATACCACACGTGCGATGCTACAAATACACGCGTCAGAAACCTATTACATCGTTTGGCCCTCCTACTGACACTAAAAGTCGACAGCCAACACCCAAAAGAATCGATCTGGGCCGTTAAAATTTGAAACAATCTCGAGAATTTTGGATGTCCCCAATGCTGGTAAGATCCTATAAATACAAGATTTCTCACGTACGTATTAATATATGATTAAAGAAATATATTATTAGTTTTATTATTATTTTTTTAAATAAAATTAATAAAAATTATCAAAAAATTATTATTTATATCGGTTTTATTATTATTGGATGTTTTATCGGTGTTGTTAACATATCAGGTAAAATGCTATCGGTTTTATTTTTTTCTGTTGATTTTGTTATTATTTAATACTTTATCGGAAATGTTAAAAAATAATTTTTTAGATAGAAATAATAATATTTTAGATATTTTTTTATCGATTTTATTAAAAATAAATAAAAATCGATAGTACATTTCCTTAGCTAAATATTAAGGTTATCGTACGGTAAAACTTCTCATATAAAGGCCAACACTCTTAGCCTGATGTGTCGGGTTAAAATAAGTGTGTGACAGGTTTATCTGTTTCAAACTTCAAATTTATAATTATATTAGAATTGATTATATAAATTAAGATAAATTATAAATTCATCACTTAATTCTTTTTATTCCTATTTTGATCATGAAAAGTTAATTTTTTTTAATTTGTTCGTGAAATGAAAATTATAAATACTATCATTAAGTATTTAATGAATGAGTGACTAAAATAAGAACAATCCAAAAATTTAGTGAATAAATAAAAAATAAATTTTAGTGAATGAAATAGTAGTTAAAAAAACGTTGAAGGATGAAATTTGTAAATTACATTTATAATCAATTAACTAATCATTGTTAACACTTATTTTAAGGAGTATTTTATAATTCCCAATCTTGTTAAGCCACGTGGAATAGGAGGGTAAAGGTGGCACATGGGAGGATGGCAAATGCAGGGACAAGGGGGGTTTTGACTGCCAAGTTTCAAAGGATTGCAGGGCACATATCCCAAACACGGTGCACATGGGAGTGTTTACATGAAAATTTGGGTGCCAAAATGGGGTCTCATGGGTTTACTGGGCTACCTATTTAGGGTGCGGCCCTCCCACCTACGGTGCAGATGGTTTTAGCTATTGGCTAATGACAACTATGCATTTTTACATGGGTACTAAAATTCGCATCGACTGGTGGAAATTCATAATTAACATAAAGTTGATTATTAACAGCGTTGAGAGTAATCAAACATCATTATTTGAAAGTATCGGATAAATATTTTAAAACTTAATTTGATTGAAATTAAAATTTGTATTTGAATTTTTAAACTGTAACCGAATAAAACCTTATATTACATTTTTCTTTAAGGAAACAACCTATAACGGTTAATATTAATCAAATTATCTCTTTTACTCTTGAGTTCCAGGTCAGCCTCCATGTAAAAGATACCCCCAGGGCCACATGGGCCACATGCTCCCCTCTTTTGTTCTCTCGCAAAGTCCCACAAACTTAACCAGTTTAAGTAGTCCAAGAAGCTTTGATAATGGTGTAAAAGAACCCCTCAACCACTGCTTTCTTTACATCTCTCGAGAAGGTTAGCTAAGTGATGAGAGTTTGAGTAAAGGCTAAAGAGCTAAAACTGTTTTCTTTTTCAGCTTGCTGTAGAAATGGCAAAAGAAGAAAGCTACTTCTTTAGTTGGCCACCGGTCGGAGCTCCATTGAATGTACCAAGAGAGGAAGAACATTGGAAACATTTCGACAACTATGTCAATGCCGTGTCTTTTGGCTTTGTTGCTACCGCCATTCTCATCTCCATGTTCTTAGTAATGGCCATCTTCGAACGCTTTCTTAGACCCAACTCTTCTTCTTCCCCCCACCATGGTGACCTTGAATCTCAACTTGGTTTCAATGGCAAGCTCAGCCACCCATCACCAAAAGTGAGTTACCCTTTTTGTTTCCTCTTCTGGGTTTTCTTCAATTTTGTTCAAAACTCTTT